GAGATTACCTACTAATCATTGCAGTCTATTTGTTTTAGTTGTTCTTGCATGACTTTTCTTCTGCTATTAACTTTTACAAATTGACATGTTAACCCATATTTGGCCTTTAAGAAGTCTTAAAATTACAGTGTCTGACTTCATCCTGCCCCTTTGTAAGGGGGCCATGTCTCCCCCACGCTCTGTCAAAGCATGTCTGTGTCACATCTCTCTGTACAGAACCTTGTCACTCTTTGGATTTCAGCGAGCTGGACTTATGACCAGTCTCTTATGGGCTCAAGAAAAGTTACAATTTCATAGGTTATCTGGTTTTTCTTGTGATTTTCTTTTTTTTTTTCCTTTCTTTTTTTTTTTTTAAGATTTTATTTATTTGACAGAGAGAGACACAGCGAGAGAGGGAACACAAGCAGGGGGAGTGGGAGAGGGAGAAGCAGGCTTCCCGCGGAGCAGGGAGCCCGATGCAGGGCTCGATCCTAGGACCCTGGGATCATGACCTGAGCCGAAGGCAGATGCTTAACGATTGAGCCACCCAGGCGCCCCTTTCTTGTGATTTTCTACGTTCTGAGCTGAATCTAACTCCTCATTTAATTTTTTGAAAATGTAATTAAATCAAGAATATTTTTGTACAAGGCATAAAACCATATGTCCAATACCACATTCGATGTGCACAGACTTGCTAATGGAAGGAATTGAATTCTGCCTCTCATACGGTACATGGAAAACTGCTTATATATAAATACTGAAGAGTAATATGAATTGTTTAATAGTGCAAAAATGTCCCCCCACTGCCATGTGTACTTACAGCAAATACTATACAATTTGTGGGTACCCCCAGAGCTACTGCTCAGAAGACAAAGAGGAGGGAAAACGGACACTGGAAACCACTGGGGAAGATATTTCATTTTGTAAGAATCTATTGTGTCCACACTCTCTGAAAGACAGGCCTTGACAAGTTAATTTGTTTTTGCTTACCCACATGTTTCCACCACAGAAGCCCTCCACAAAGTCCAAAACTGTATGTTTCCGATGATGACAATGGTTCAACCCACAGACTTGCACAGGGTTCAGAAGCAATCACGTTTTGCATTGAGGGCGTAGAATAAGAGACTCGGAGAAGCATCTCCCTGGGGTCTGACTGGTGTAAAGCATGAGCAGAGAAAACCTTTTAAAGCAGAGGCCCCCGGCAGGGTCCCCTCTTGTGTAGGTCAGGACAGTACTGATTTAACTCACCTCTGTTTTGATGACTAAACAAGGTAGTATGTCTAACGAACTCAGAACAGTACTACACAATGGTATTATGGGGAATTACTAGTACTTCTGAATACATTCCTGTATTCTCCCAAATTTCCACAATATGTTATTGTATTTTCCAAAAACATCTTTTCGAAAAATATTCCTAAATAAGAATAGAGAAATTCAAGGATATAGTAATACGTTATTTTTTTTAAGATTTTATTTATTTATTTGAGAGAGAGAGAGCACAAGCGGGGGTAGGGGCAGAGGGAGAGGGAGAAGCAGGCTCCCCGCTGAGCAGGGAGCCTGACGTGGGGCTCGATCCCAGGGCCCTGGGATCATGACCTGAGCCGAAGGCAGCTTCTTAACCAACGGAGCCACCCAGGCGTCCCTCATTTTTATTTTTAAAGTAATGTATTACTCAGAGTGCCTGCGTGGCTCCGTTGGTTAAGCGTCTGCCTTCGGCTCAGGTCATGATCTCAGGGTCCTGGGATCGAGCCCCGCGTCAGGCTCCCTGCTCAGCGGGGAGCCTGCTTCTTCCTCTCCCTCTGCCCCTCCCCCTGCTTGTGCTCTCTATCTCACTGTCAAATAAATAAAATCTTTAAAAAATAAAAAATAGAAAAATAAAAATGAATGTGAGGTGATGGATGTGCTAACTAAACTTATTGTGATAATCATTTCACATGATATACATGTATCAAATCATCACCTTATAGGCCTTAAGTTTATACAATGTTATATGTCAAATAATACCTCAATAAAGCTAGAAAAAAATTTAAAATAATAATGACATTATAAATCAATTTGCAAAACTCAGAACAGGACTTAGAATAAAATGTATACTTTGAGCATATAGCAATACAAATAAAAAGGAAATTACATACACATATAAAATATAAATGAATTTTATTTATGAATGTATAGATGTATATAATTATAAAAATGACCAAAAAGGGGAAAAGCAATACATTGAAAGAGCATATGCCATAATCAAGTAGAGTTACTCAGAATTTAGGAATGTTTTAATATAGTAAAACCAGTAATATAATCATATTAGGTGATTTAAGTGATAAAAATTACATGATTATGCAAAAGATACCAATTCTTACTAAAAGCTTCTAACAAAGAATAAATGTAATTTCCCTTATTAAATAGAGAACATTTGTTTAAAACCAACAATTACTTCATATTTAATGGAGAAATATAAAAAATATCTTTTCACCACCATTTTATTTAACACAAAACAAAACAGAAATACATAAGAAAAGGCAAATCTTTTTGCAGCTATGATTTTCTATTTAGAAGAAACAAAGAGACCTTCTAACACTGTTAGGACAAAGGTAATTCAACAAAAGACGAATATTTTAAAAATCAATAGCATTCTAAAGATGGAGATTCCCATATGGATAGCAATACAGATGTGTGTAGCCAAGAAAAAAAAATCAATGTAATAAGGGATATATAAGGCTAGACAAAAATAAGAACAGATTATAATGAAAGAAATCAAGGAACCCATCAGCAATGAAGAGACTTAATTCCTTGATGGAAAGATTAGTATCATGAGCATAAGTCTTAAACAGTTAATTTTAGACCTAGATGATTCAAACTGAAGCACCAAAAAGATGTTTACCTTAAATAACACACTCTTTAAGGGAAAAAGACTTTTTGAAAATGAAAAATATATATGGGGAGAAAAAAGAACAATGAAGACCAATATGATACTGATTCCATGGATTCAAACACAGAGTTTGATTCGTTGTATGACAAAAAATTCTTCTTTTTTGGAGACTTGTCCAAAAAGAAGAAATAATGGTTTTGTTTTTGCTCAAAGTTAGGGAATAAAAGCAGAAAGCATGGCAAATTAAGTGCTATGCGAGAACTTTGAGAACACCAAGAGAACCGCCCTTCTTGGGGTCAGAAAAGATTAGCCTAGCATTTTAAAGAATCTGATTTTGCCAGGTTTTGAGGCAGGAAGAGGGAAGGAGTAGCACTTAATGGGAACATCATTTACAAGCACAGAGAATCATAAAATAAAATGGCACATTCCAAAAATTGCAAATAGGTCAGTACACACAATATTGGTCTGCATTTTTAAAACTCAGTCAAAAAGCCAGTATTTAAAAATCTGAAATTTTATCATAAAATCTGGATCTGGCTTCTTTCGACTAACTGGAGAACATAACAAAATGGGCCCACATCCCTACATGGGCACAAAAGGTAGGTGCCCCACTCAGATGGGACAACTTTCTATGACACTTCCTTTTCCCCCCCGTTTCTCCTACATCCAGCTCACATCATCCACTTAGCTCCCCTATCTCATCCAAGAAGGCACCTGAGTTTATGAGTCCTACCTTGCATTATGGGTACCAATGAAGGTTACAGCAGACCAAAGCAATGTGATTACGTCTGCATTTCAAAAGATCAACCAGACACAGGAAGGAAGGCAGAGGGGTACAGGGTGGTAAGGAGATCAATGAAATCCATAAAAAGCCTACTTTACAAAAAATTTAAAACGGGCCTGCCATCACTGAAGGAGAGCAGGGGCCACCCAGAACCTCCTATAAAAAATACTCTCACGAGACAGGACTGGAAAACCAGTGAATCCTCCACCTGTGCAATTCACGCAAGAGGTGAAGAGGATTAGAAAGAAGGCAGTGTGTCCGGGATGGAAAGGGGCAGAGAAGGATACAAATTTGAGATCTCTGAAGGGAAACTAATCTCCAACACTAGGTAACGAGTTTGACACTAGGAACCAGGAGAAAGAAGAGGATGGGGCAATTTGCAGGGTTTCGTTTTAAGTCAGTAGGAGGTGACACTCCAAAATAAAGAAACCAAAGGAGGAACAAGTCTATAGGAAAGTTCATCATTTCACTGAGGATATGTTGGATTTGCGGAGCCTAATAGATGTGCAGCTTCCCCTGAAAGCCTTGATAAATGACCAAAGAAAACTCACCTCCAATTCTAATCATGAGATGAAACTGAGGGTCAAGTAGGATTATATAAAATATCTTTACAGAATGGATTCTAACAGAACTAAGCTTTAAATGGAATATTATAGAATTGAATAAAATATTGCAACAAAGATTACAGAGGGTCATTTTGATGCATATAAAAGCATACTTAGAAGATATATGAAAATAACACAATTTTGTAAAAGTCTACCAAGTCTCTTAATGTCCAGGATATACATGTGTACCCTACACTGTTTCCATTAAGAATGTAAGATGGCTTACAGCAAAAATACACATAGTAAAAGGATAAAAATGTAAATAATAATAAAATGTAAAAATAATTTTTTTTTAAAAATCAGCACCAGGAGAAATCAGAACTAGGAAAAAGGAAACAAGGTATGCAGAACATAAGGGCTTTCAGAAGTACTGTTGTGGCCAACCAAAGTGAAAAGATTCACAGAAGCAGCATGACTCTTCTGTCCATTAGGAGAAAAAACAGCAATTTCTCCCTTTAAAAAGGATATTTTGGCACACCTCCCCCCCATAGAGAAGACAGCATTTCAGGATAAAACATGGTTATACACTAAATTAATTCAGCTTTATGAAAAACTCACTCCCTTGTCCCTATTTCTCAAATATTGTGTTATTGCAGAAAAGTTAAAATTTAAAAAACAAGGGCGCCTGGGTGGCTCAGTTGGTTGAGCGACTGCCTTCGGCTCAGGTCATGATCCTGGAGTCCCGGGATCGAGTCCCACATCAGGCTCCCTGCTCAGCAGGGAGTCTGCTTCTCCCTCTGACCCTCCTCCCTCTCATGCTCTCTGCTCTCATTCTCTCTCTCGCAAATAAATAAAATCTTAAAAAAAAAAAAAAAAAATTTAAAAAACAACAAGACTTTACACATCAACATTTGGGGATATCAGAAAAGCAAACACAGAAAAAGATATCATAACGCAGCTTCTCTGTGGTGCCCTCTGATGAAAACAAAAAACCAAACATCGAAGTGTAACTGGATGAAGAAAGCCAGGTGGTGGGGACAGGAGAAGGGAGGAAAGTCAACACAAAACAGACAAGGTATATAGGTTTCTGATGGTCCCTCCAGATCCACAGAAAGAATGGATACAACTTTGAGGAATGGATGAACGACCCTATAGCAATGGGGGCTTTGGCGAAAAATTTAATAAGAAATGCAGAGTAGACACAGTGAGGTAGAAATCTTTGGTGAGCACTCAACAGTTATAAACTCTGTGGTACTGGCTGAGGATGGATCCATGAGAGTTGGATATCATATGAGCATGGTACGATTGATATCCTTTTATGAAAATTAAGTAACCTAATTACAGGCCATCCCACATCAGCATGGAGGAGGGCCCTAGGAGGGCAGGCACAAAATGCACACACACATACACACACACACAAACATACAGAAAGCACACACACAGAAAAATATTCACTTGCATATATTTAAAGAAATGCAAATCAAAAAACAGTATCATTTAGCACCGACAAGCTAAGCAAAAGAAGAAATTTAAAAATTCAATATTGTGAGGATTTTAAGAAAAGAGTTCTATTCAGAATTTGTTAGAAAGAACTGAAATATCCAGAATAAGGGAAGTCGTTAAGTAAATAATTATATGTTAGCGTATCTGTGCATAAAAATGATTATACATGATAAAATGTGAATAGGGAAGGATGCTTATGAAACATGAAGAAAAAATAAGAGTACAAAGTGTCCATAGTCTCTGACGACCACTATGTAAACCGTGTAGAAAAACACTGGCTGGGTCACAGAGCAAGTCAGCCCAAACCTGCGCCTCTCGGAGCTCCCGTCAGCCTGGGGGAGAGGTCAGGGATTATAGGCAGAACCCACCATCTTCAGAGTTTGCCCTGGACTGACCCCAACCATACTCACGCTCTCCCCTCTCTGCCTGCTCAATGTCCCACCACATCCCCAACCACTCATCCCCAATGTTATCCTCCCAACCTGATGTGCTCCCCTTCTCTGTCTTTTTTAATTTTTACAACAATGTGTGAGGTAGGTATTACTATGACCGCTACTGATAAGTGATTACGTGAAGGAACTTACAAATAAAGCTCAACAGAAGCTTTGTTTTCGGACGTTCCAACTGGACAAGCATCTTATTTCATGGACGTCCTTTACGGTTTAGCTGCGTGTGGCTTCTTGGCTGACTGAGCAGGCATGGAAGCCACAGGACTGGCCTCGGCAGCACCAGCCACGTGTACTCCTGGTTTCTCGGGGCCCTGGGAACACTGAGCAGAAGCTGCATTATCTAAAAAGAAAGAAGAGAGAGATGAGCTTTCCTGAGACACCCCTTTTATTGCTCTCAATTTCATTTTATGTCAGGAGCATCAGCCCTGCAAATCAGATCTCAGACAGGAGTCCCAGCACTATGGATTTGGAGAGTGTGTGTCTTCTGGATTTATTTTACACACGTAAACACACACACACACACACACACAGCAGAAAGTCACAATTTCAGTGACTTCAGTTAAGAGAGACTTCAGTTGGGAGAGACCCACTAAACAAGACCAGATGAAGGTAACGACAGGCCCTGTACTAGTATAGAGTAGAAGACCCCTGCCACCATCTGGGGTCCCCCAGACAGCCTCTGATACTACCTCCAAATCACCCGCGCAGGAGGTCAGCTCTACCATCCCAACATAAGAAAACTCTGTAACCAGGGGCGCCTGGGTGGCTTAGTCGGTTCAGCGTCTGCCTTCGGCTCAGGTCATGATCCCAGGGTCCTGGGATCGAGCCCCACGACATGCTCCCCGCTCAGCAGGAAGCCTGCTTCTCCCTCTCCCTCTGTCTGCCGCTCCCCCTGCTTGTGCTCTCTCTCTCTCTCTCTGTCAAATAAATAAATAACATCTTTAAAAAAAAAAAAAAAAAAGCAAAAGAAAACTCCGTATTGAAAGCTTGGAGACTCTGGTTTTGCTGATTTGGTTTTCCCATCGACAATTTTCCTGAGCCTAACTCCCACTGATTTTCAGCTATAAGCAAATCTAATAGGGTAAGCAACCTGAATGCACTATAATTAAAAGTACACCAGACCACACTTTGCAGACCTTAAAAAATGAGAGACTGCAGCAATATGGGAAGATGTTTATGATGTTGTATAAAGTGAAAATTTAGGAACTAATGCATACTATGACCACAACTGGACTAGTATTTGTAGCGTAACAGGAGGGAAGGGCCTGCAGTTAAATGGTACTAATGATTATGGGTAGAATGAGTGGAATCATATGCAATTTATATCTCTCCTCTCTATTTTCCAATTTTTTCTGTCATATGGTTAAAATTTCTTAACAACTGAAAAAGAAAATACTTTCTTTTTTTTAAAGATTTATTTATTTATTTCAGAGAGAGAGTGAGCATGAGCAGGAGGGGCAGAGGGAGAGAGAATCCCAAGCAGACCCTCTGCTGAGTGCGGAGCCTTGTGCAGGCTGGATCCATGACCCTGAGATCATGACCTGAGTCAAAACCAGACGCTTAACCAACTGCACCACCCAGGTGCCCCAAAAGAAAATACTTTTTTAAAAGTTATTACAAGGGGCACCTGGGTGGCTCAGTTGTTAAGCATCTGCCTTTGGCTCAGGTCATGATCCCAAGCTCCTGGGATCGAGCCCCACATCGGGCTCCTTGCTCAGCAGGAAGCCTGCTTCTCCCTCTCCTACTCCCCCTGCTTGTGTTCCTGCTCTCGTTGTGTCTCTCTTTGTCAAATAAATAAATAAAATCTTTAAAAAAAATAAGTTATTACAAGAAAAACTTTGTAACTATGTATGATGACAGATGTTAGCTCGACTTATTATGATCATTTTGCAATGTACACAAATACTGAATCATGTTGTGCATCTGAAACTTACATAATGCTATATGTTAATTACCTCAAGAAAAAGAAAGAAGAAAACACTTTAATTCAAATTTAATAAAAGGAAGCCATTCCTATGTTTTCCTTCCCTTTCTTGCCCACTGGCCCACCTCCCTCCTCCTTCTTCCTAACAAAGCTGTGAGGACGGTTGTACCTAGTTCCTAGCCCCCAGCTTAGCAAGGAGGGACACTGTTCAAACCCCTGGGCAGATGCTGTTGGCTGACAGCGCTGGAAATAAACTCCATCCCTTCCCTCCTTTGGTTAGAACCACAGTTTTACATCATAAAATGTTGGCGGTTCTAAGTTTCCCCAAAAACAGAGCAAAACTTACCATATGAGGTGCTCTCCCCCAGACTTCCTGGCCCAAACTACATATACTAGTGCCCTGCCTCCCTCTGATATTCCCACCTTGATTTTCGAGCATCTTGTGCAGCTTCATGTGCTTGTAGGTAGAGATGATCTGAAAATTAACGACACTTGGAATATTCAGTCCTTGGTCCTGCAGCAGCTTCAAGGCTGTAGCATGAATGAGCTGATGAGACCGTTTGCATTTCTGAAGCCTGCATTCCCCTCTGACAAAGGATTTGCACACATGGAACTTGTTGCATTTATCCTTGAGGTTGCAGTAGCCATATAGTGCTTCACCTTTGTTGTACAGCAAACAGACCTGGTCCAGAAATGAAGCAACACTTAACACATTTGTTTTCACTATAATTTTTAAAGCAATTGATTGAAGAAAAAAAATTAAGCTTTTATTTTTTTTTTAAAGATTTTATTTATTTATTTGACAGAGAGAGACACAGCGAGAGAGGGAACACAAGCAGGGGGAGTGGGAGAGGGAGAAGCAGGCTCCCCGCAGAGCAGGGAGCCCGATGCGGGACTCGATCCCAGGACCCTGGGATCATGACCTGAGCCGAAGGCAGTCGCTTAACCAACTGAGCCACCCAGGCGCCCCTAAGCTTTTATTTTTAAGTAATCTTTACACCCAACGTGGGGCTCAAACTCACAACCCCGAGACTAAGAGTTGCATGCTCCACCCACTTAGTCAACCAGGCACCCCAAAAAATAATTTTTGAAAAAGAAGTGTAATGGGCACAGAGACTTATACCATTGTATATTAAAATATAAACTACTTTAATTAAACAGTATGATACAGGTTTAAGAATGCACAGGAGATCAAGAAAAAGAGATCCTAGACCTAGTCCCCAAATCAAAATTATCTGTTCTTTAAAGATTTGATCAAGCTCAACAATAAAACTATATGAGCCTAATGTTTTCTAGTAGAAGACTTTTTAACTAATACTCTAGTTTTATGGTGTTTTAAAATTTTCATCTTAATGCTTTTGTCATTCAAAAATAAAGACTATTCTGGCTTTCTACTTTTTCTTGAATCAGTTTGTTTTTGTTTTTGTTTTTTTAATATTTTATTTATTTATTTGTCTGTGAGAGAGAGAGAGCACACACAAGCAGGGGGAGCAGCAGAGGGAGAGGGAGAAGCAGGCTCCCCACTGAGCAAGGAGCCCGATGTGGGACTCGATCCTGGGATCATGACCTGAGCCGAAGGCAGACGCTTTACCCCCCGAGCCACCCAGGTGTCCCTTGAATCAGTTTTGATGAGCTATATTTTTTCTAGAAATGTGGCCATTTCTTTGAAGTTTTCATTTTTCTTTTTTTTTTTTTTTAAGATTTTATTTATTTATTCATGAGAGAGAGAGAGAGAGAGTGGGGCAGAGGCAGAGGCAGAAGCAGGCTCCCTGCAGAACAGGGAGCCCGACATGGGACTCGGTCCCAGGACCCCAGGATCATGACTTGAGCCGAAGGCAGATGCTTAACCAACTGAGCCACCCAGGCGCCCTTCATTGAAGTTTTCAAATGTATCAGCATCACATTGTACATGTTTCCAAGGTGTGTTTCTTTCAACACCTCCAAGTAATTCTCAGCGGACAACGACCAGGTGTCCCACAAATTTTAACTCAATCCTAATACTGTCTACCTGGAGATAACATCAGATCCCACAGGTTAAGGGCTCAGGCCCACCAGGCGGCCCGCACTTTAGATGCTCATAGCGGGTCCATGCTGGCTGAACTGCTATGAAGTTTCTCACCACCTCCTCCTCGGGCTAGATTAATGTGCTAGAATAGCTCACAGAACTCAGAGAAACAGTTTACTTACTAGATGAACAGTTTATTATAAAAGGATATAACTCAGGAACATGCAGATGGAAGAGATACACAGAGGAAGGTATGGGGTGGGGGGGAACGTGTGGAGCTTCCATGCCCTCTCCTGAGGTCCCACTCTCCCAGCACCTCCACGTGCTCACCAACCTAGAAGCTCTCTGAAAGTCTGTCCTTTTGGGTTTTTATGGAGGATTCTTAACATAGGCATGATCGGTTAAACCACACTGGCCACTGGTGAATGAACTCAATCCCCAGCCCCTCTGCTCTCCCAGGAGGTGGGAGAGTGGGGGGCAGAGGGGTAAAACTTACAACTGTCTAATCACAAGACTGGTTCTCCTGACAACTAGCTCTCATCATTTAGGAAATTCCAAGGGTTTGAGGAGCTCTTTCAGGAATGGGGATGAAGACCAAATATATTTCTCATTATAAATCACAAGATCACAATGTTTGTCCCTATTGTCTTTTTATTAAGTGGTATATCTGTATTATGTACTGTGTCTTTCGGAGAGTGATGGAAAGGGGTCATGGGGCATTTTCATACAAGAGATGTGAGGCACCATTCCTGCCTCATTCACTGTGCTTGTCTATGGTCCCTGCTACCTAAGTGGCCACGCTGTGTGCCACATGATACACACCTCCAGTCCTGGGTGACAGGACTGGGGTGGGCTCCTGTCGTAAGTGCAGACAACCCACTGGCTGCTCACAAAACTGCAGTAGTCTGACATGACAAGATGAGGCTGGACCCAGGACAGTAGGGAGAAGCCATAAAGAAAAGGGTTCAATAAGTTAAACAATGTAACGATGTCAAACTTCCGTATGTCAAACGATACCATAAAAACTAAAAGGTAGGGGGGCGCCTGGGTGGCTCAGATGGTTAAGCGTCTGCCTTCGGCTCAGGTCATGATCCCAGGGTCCTGGGATCGAGCCCCGCATCGAGCTCCCTGCTTGGCGGGGAGCCTGCTTCTCCCTCTCCCTCTACTGTTCTCCCTGCTTGTGCTCTCTCACTCTCTCTATCAAATAAATAAATAAATAAAAACTTTAAAAAAAAAACAAAC